GATCGATTTGAAACATAGATTTTAACAAATACAGTGAAGTTTGGTCTGGTCTGACATATGAGCACTTAAGAAGTAGATTACAACCATAGATTAGAACTTTCGTATGTATACCAGCTGTCAGTGTAGTAAAAAAAAGTAGTCTAGAAAGAAACGAATTACTCCAATATTACTCGTTATCACGTAGATGGTGAAAAGAACCTGGTATTTTTTTAAATATATGTATGGTTTTTCAAGATTAACATTGAGAGGAGATATGGTAAATTTACTATTGATTGTGCGGTCATTTAGTAACTATTCATAATAAAAATCTTAAAGAAAATATTTTTCCGTAATAGTTTGTTCAGTGTTTTGAACTTAATGAACAGATTATTAAATTATTTAAACAGATGAAACATATATCTCATTGTCTGAATCGCGCATTTAACTTTCTCTCTAACTAACAAACAGCCAAAGCTAACAGCCAAAATATACATTAATCAAGATGAAAATTGTCACCATTTTCAACATTCCTAACGTACTACGTTACGTTACAGTGGAAGCCTTAATTTAAATCCAAGAATTCCAGCCTTCTTAAAAAGCTAGGTTTCGTGACTTACTTTCTTGGTCCGACAGTGTCTGAATTACAAAATTGTTGGGACAGCAACCCCGCACTTGAATAAGTTAACACTGTGTAGGCTGCAATTTAACGCAGAATATTCTTGCTTCCATGTCTTATGTATCTATCTCGCTCTATATTGTTTTTAACAAATTGTCCAGAGGAAATGAACAAGTTAGAGAGAGACAACAATAGCGGAGTCAACCGACTTATTCATACGCATTGCGTAAACAAGGAAACTTTTACTTAAAGGTAGTTGTATATTTAATGACAGCAGCATTGCGCCCTTGTTGCCAGTGCCTGGCACCGAACTTCAATCTCAGTATTACGACCAACCTTCAAATGTTTATTGGAATCAATTAATGTGATTGGAATAATATAAGGTTTGCATTGTTATTGCATTCAATAAAATTTCAATCGGTAGTTTTATTTGTAGTAATATGCCGCCATATTTGAACCATTTACAGTTTACAGCAATACGGTAGTTCATTGTCAAGTTTCTCAAATCTGTCAAGTGGATTTATTAAACGTCAAAATGTAACGTTCTACTATTAAATTGTCAAATTATCAGCTTTTTTGTTTTAAATAAAAACTATGTTAAGTTTTGCAATTAAAATGGTAAAACCTTGAAAATAGTTACAAGCATAGTTTTTAGTTCACAAAGAATGTTTTACACCAGATTTTTTTCAAGAGTACATCAATTTTGAACATGCATAAATGATGAATAGGGTTACAAATACAGGGTATAATAAAAACAGAGCTTCAGCGCGCCACAATCATATTTCTCATGTACCGGACACATATGTGGGCAACCGATACTTAAATCATTTTTATCTCTCTGAATTTGGCGAAAAGCTATATACTGTATTAGCAATTGCCCGCGGCTTCTCTCTCGTAATGATTTGTTATTTTGTGTTTCTAACTTCCACACTCTATACTCAATAATTTATTACGTTCCATAATGTACATAAAAGGTCTTAAAAATATAAAAATACATAACACAAATACAGAACTCCTTCCTAAAAGGCCGGCAACGCGTTTGTGACTCCTGAGTTGCAGACGTTCATGGGTGGCAATAGTCACTTTCCATCAGGTGACCCTCTGACATAAAAAATACCGTTAACCGGGCATAGCAAAAGGTTAGGAGAGAGGGCTAAGCAGGAATACCTATTAGTGCACACAATTGAAAACTAATTTTTTGTAGGTAGGTAGGTAGGTAAACACATGTTTTTGCAGGTATTATACTAAATAAGTATAATACCTGCAAAAATGTGCGGGGGTGTATCTTTTTCATTTCAATCAATCAATCAAAAAGCCTTTTAACCTGAACATTTAAAATGGATTTCTGAAGAATTATAATGTTTTACAGATGTCTCTTAGTTTCTAATATCTTCCCCTATCCTATCTCTTCCCCTGCCCTCCTCTGTTCCTTTTACTATCTACCATTCGGTAAGTATCTTGATCTTTTCATTTACTTATTTTTGTGGGTGTGTAGTGTATTTATACAACCGTTCATCCCTTACTTTACCCCTTAGGGCTGAAGTTGCCAAAAGCCCTTTCTAAGTAAGTATAACTTAGACTGTTAATAAGTTGAAAGGGCTCGGACTTTCCAGCTATGACTACATGCAATGTCATTTTCCTAACATCGCTGACCATTATAAACTGTTTATCTTTTCAATATACTTCTTATTTTCTCACCTGAGCCCCAAAGTACCTTGTTGATAGAAATGAAGAATAAATACGATATAGTAATTGGTTGCTATTGCCGTTTACACTTTTGGCATAGTTAAGTAAATATTTTGGTTACCTGCTTAATGGCTTAATTAATGAGTGACATGAGAAAGATATTGGATGTTATTAAAACTATCTTTGAAAAAGGAACCATTAGAAAATGGGTACGAGATTTTTATTCTAGTATTGGACTAACGTTAGTAGCCTTGTAGTAGTTCTATTTAGGGCGTGTTTGTAGTATGTAAATATTTATATATTATTTAAAAGAAACAGCTCACAACACTGTCGAATATCCACATCGTGAAATTTATGTTATGACCTTTTATGAAAACCCCACGATGCGTTATGGCAATCACAGAAAAAACACATAGCGAGATTCTAATCGTGGGTAGCATAGAGAGCATAGAGAGAACATGTGGTAGAGCTGCCTGTAAGTGGAAGCGATACAGGCAACGAGAGGGATGGATGCCCGATAGTTTCCTCTGTTTAGCTAAGCTGTGATTGGCTATCGTGAAGTGGGCATGGTTTTGATCTTAGAACAGATGGGAGCTCACTAGAAAGAGATAGAGAGAACTATCTATTATCCATCTCTCTCGTTGCCTATATTGCAAGATTCGGGCTCTTGTTCACCCTATGCTTATATCTCTATTTATACGACCAAGAGTCATTGTGGCAATGAAAAAAGGCCATAATGCATTCCGGGCATGTCGCGTTCCAGTCTATGAGCGTATCATACATATAACATACATAGTTTACAGTTTCGTAATCTGAACTTATCTCGCAAACGAAATAGGTAAGTTCATGTTTATTATTCGGCCAAAGACAGCAACAGGTACTAATAAATAACACCGGTTGAGAAAACTTACGTTAATGGCTCACGTAGTTTTATTGTTCTTTTTACGAGCAACCGTTTAGTAACTAGCTTTTACGTCCCAACTGCTAATATAGCAGATTTTGCCGCGTTTATTTCTCTTTTTGGTTACGTAGTAGTAAGGAATGGCGGTAAAATAAACATTGTTTTAGAAAAAAGTTTTTGATGTAACTAGTTTTATGTAAAAGGAGCAAACAAGCTGGTCACCTAAAGGTAAATGACTACTGCTGCCTATGAACGCCTGGAACTTAAAGATACCAGTAGGTTGCTATTCTCTTTGTTCAACGGAACCCCCCACCAACTCTGTGTGGGGAGTTCCGGTATCCTTAACCTAGCTCTCTTGCCTTATCTTTTTTTTACCTAAATTTCTTTTTTTTTCGTTTTTCTGTAAGCGATCATATTCTAAGAGGCTTGACAGTAAGTAAACGTTTAAGGAAACCAGTCAAATAAAATTTGGGTAAGTTTAGGAAGAAGATTGTAGGTGTGATTACAAATATGAGACCAAACACTTAAAAACCTTTCATTTACCTTATCTTTTTAATATACTTTGGATATGTAGAAAAAAATTAACTAAGTAAATTTAACAGTAATTCCTTTATTTATTTAAAACATGCCCGTTCTGCACCGTGTACGGTTACATTGTTTCTCGTACCAAGCAATATTATACATGAGAAATGCGAGAATTGCCTATCTTACTTTATTTATTAAATTGCTTACAACGGTAAGCTGCTACCAGAATATTGGGAATGATATTCGGCCGAAATTCAGAACTTCTTCGTTAAGACTGTTTCTAAGGCTAAACATAATATTATTATGCATTAAGTACTTGAACAGAATGTAAGCATATTAATTTACTTTTAAAAGCTTATTTATTAATAAACGCACTAATCTCACAGCAATCCAGTTAAAACAAAAACCTTATAGTGGTCGCTTAGTTTGACCTCTGATGTCCTACCCTGTCTTTTTGACCTAGGTTATTGCCTTTTTTTTTATTTTTTTTTAACGTGTGGAAATCCCCTCGGACCGTCACCCCTCCGGGGTTTGCGGCGGGGTGGTGTGTCGGACTCGGACCGACTAAAACCACACGGTGTGCCACTCTGCGCCTGTAACAGGAGGGATCCGGGAACAGCTGTTGTTAAGACATCCGGACCCCTCCTAGCGCCAGCCCGCTCCTGGTGCGGGCTCCGTCTCAGTAAATTTTTTTTTTTTTCCTCTCTTTAGGCGACGTCCGGCACACGCGGACGCCGCCCCCTCGCGGCTGTCCAAACTAATGCGGGTGGAGGGGAAACCCACCCCGTCCACCCGCGGCCACACTCAGGGCGGCATGAGGCTGTGGTAGGCGGGCCTCCGCCGCCCGGTTCGCCGGCGGCGGATCGGGTCCGAGTGGAGGTCGTCCTCCCGGGCCCTCTCCGCCGCCTCCTTCCGCGAGATTACTACCTCGCAGAAGGTTGCGACCGCGGTAAAACAACTGTCGCTACCGGCCATGGAGCGTTATTGCCTAATCTAAGGGGTCCGCGGGAGGAAGTTCTTACTGATGGGTTAGTTTTATTAACAGTAAAAGCAAAGAAAATTTAAAAATATATATATAAGAGATTTCCACGTATATAGTCACTCATCACGATATCTATGGAACCATTAGAGCTAAAGACTTGAAATTTCGTAGGAATATTCTTTTCACCGAGTAGAGGTCAACTAAGAACGGATTTTAAGAAATACAAAAAAATATTTAAATAATGTAAATAGCAAAACAACGTTTGCAGGGTCAGCTAGTTCAATATATTTTCATAACATAAAGCAAATAAATCATTCCACGTTAGCCACAGCAGGTATAATAGCTTCATACAACTCGATGCCGCGTAGGAACACTTCAGCGCTAAGATGCTCATCATGCTCGTGCAGGCCGGGGACTGTGCGGTTCATTGGTGAGAAGCCAATGGCGGGGATGTTCAGCTCACGGAGGTAGCGGCTGTCGGTACCGCCCGGGAACGTGCATTGCTTCAGAGTGATTTTACTGGAATGGAAACTTATTTGTTCAACATGTTCACAAGTCTAAATTGAGCCTGCTGACTCGTAATTGAAATTTAAGTCCTATTATAGTAACTAGTCTAAAATTTTAGTTCACTAGGCCGTTTTAACTATGTTAACACATTTCGTGACCGATTCGATATAATATGTATGGAGTTGGCTACCGATCAAGATTAAATATTTTCATTTGTTGTAAGATATACTTGTTGAGTAATTCCTAGCCAAGTTTAGTAGACAGTAGACGTACAACAAAGAATAAACATTCAGAATTAAATCAGCAGTTCCAGAATGCTTTTTTTCGGTTTTTTCAAAGTCATTTTCAGTATTTAAAAGCACTTCTCTTCTACATAATTGGGAACCAATCTAGTTCAATATCACTTGAGGTTCATTCCGCTTCGTTAAAATCTATCGCAACGGCGATGAAACTGTAAAGTTTTATTAAGCTTTAGTTTTAAAATCTACTACTATTGTTAACGTGACAGTAATGGATAAATGGCTAAACATGACTGTCTTTATAATCTAATTTATTACACATCTTTCGTGCCTGCGTATGTATACTCATGTTTCAACGAATAAAAATGTCTTTGTCTTTGTGACTCAATCACGCCAGAACGGCTGGATAGGTTGTGGGCTGGAATAGTACCTAGGCTGATTATAAATCAGCCACATCATCTCCATTCTAGTCTATCATTCGTCCTTACACATTTAAAATAGAAAATTCGTCATCAGAATAAAAAAAAATACTATACGTTTTAACCTATTTGTTGTAGTCTAAACACTTGAAGTCTGTTAAAAAGCGTACTGTTCTATTTTTACGTTTAAAATGGCAGAAAATCTCAGTTTCCCTCCTGTCTTTGTTTCATTTAAAAACAGTTTCATTGTCAAGGAGGTTGGCGTCAGGCAAGCGACCAGTCATAAAATAATCCCGCTAGAACTCAAAGTAACTTGAACCCAAATACAATTTATTAAATCTGCAAAAAGATCATGATGAGATAATCAGTATACTAACAGTTGATCAGCTGCAGCTTTGAAAGCCAGCCAATAGGAGTTGCTATCGTCACATTTGGTCGGCACAACATAAGGATCCTTCTGTTCGAACTCATATGTAACACCATTGCCAGCTTCGACACACCAGCGCTTTATCTAAAAATCAAAATACAAATAAAACTGACATTTAGAGAACATTATTTTAAAGTACTTAATATTAAAATCAATTATTCAGCTAAGACATATAAGCTGTAAAGAATAGCTGATTAAATGAAAACTTAATAAACTCCGATGAATATGCTGCCATTGTAATAGCAGCAAGAGGATAATAATAATATTCAGACATCTGACACACAACGCCATCTAGTTTCAAACTTAGTAGAGCTTGTACTATGAAAGCTAGTTTAAATTATTATTTTTAAGTTATAACAATATGAAGTTAATGAAGTGAAGAAACTTATGTTAGTATGTATAGTATGTATAGTATGTATAGTATATGTATAGTATGTATAGTTTTGCATGGCTACCGTGACAGAGCCAGTCTATGACACAAATTTAACTGATACTCACAGAAATTCTAAAAATGTATGATAACAGCCACCATGTATCATGGTGTAGGTATTAACCCCGTGATAGAGCTTACCATGTCCACATTGTTTTTACTTAGAATTTAGGTTAAGAGCCAAATATACTGTACATAACGCCCTAATAATGTCACGTGCATTTTCACTGTAAAAGTATGCTTATCCAGACTCTTACACTAGGAGATTTATGAACTATGTCCATTATAACCAATATATGATTTCTGTCTCCAAATGGATATCTTAAAGCTTCTTTTTAAATCGACTATCCAATATTTTGTAAATGCAAGACAATGGTGTCTTAATTTGCTTGTAAAACATTATAAAATTAAGTTTCTTAGCTAAAGTTTATTTGAGGCTCTCGTCAAAGCAAAATCCAATTTAATTGCAACTTGGTTCGAAGAAAACTACGGCACTTTGTGGATATTTGGTTGTTTTTCTTCTTTAATTGTTTTTTAGAATTTATTTTGTTGTTGTTGTAACAAGTTGTAACAAGTCTCGTGCTATTTAATTTTTGTAGTTAATGGTCTAATATATTATTATAGCGTTTTTTAATTGTATAGAGAACCAACGAGGCGATGGTAAGTGACTACCACCGCCCATCTGCAACTCCGGAATCACAAGTGCGTTGCCGCCTTCCGAATCTTTCCACTTTCAGCAGTCCTACCAAACCTAATTCAATCTTTGAAAAGCTACGAAAAAATACTTAACACCGTTTTTCTATATTATTACTATATAATTATTGCAGCCCAGACGGAAGCATGGCTACTTTTTGTTTAAAATTAAGTTTGTATTGTTTTAAACATTGTGCAATGCCGCCAAAATAAGAAAAAAACAAAAGTCTTTTTAAGTAAAATACTATACCGTATCTTCAAACTGTTTTTGGTCCACTGACAGAGCAATTCGTATGTCAAAGGTGGCGGTTAATTTCTCTGGAACCACGTTGCTTTGGATACCACCCTGGAAATAGATATATTTGATATCTTAACTAACATATTTAAATGATTTCTATACCGATTGGACTAACACTTAATAGATTAATGTTTTTAATTAGATGAATTAGGTCTTTAAAATGATACTGAAATATAAATTTTCATAACAGTTAAACTTCAAGAATCATACAAGCTTTAAATAAATTTCTATAACGTAAAAACCAACGCAAAATGTAACTGTGACCACTAAATCAAATATTAATATAATATTAACGTTGGCTGTTTTGATGTCACAAATGTTTGAACAAATTTTGCGTCGCCAACGGTTACGGTTTGATGTTACAATTCCCTTTCAAGAGATGGTAAATATTTTTATATTTCATCTATAACACATGATGTGGTTTTTTAGTTGGTTATAGTAACATTTCCTAAATAATTTAACAGTTTGCGCTGATTAACTCGATGAAAAGTGAATTTATTACTGTTTATTTTTTGTATTTTTAATGAATAAAATGCAGGGTACAGGTATTGCGGTAAATTTTTGGGCGACTTTAATGTTACTGTTTTTGTACTTTAATGAAAAAAAAATCATCATTATTAACAATTTCTTTTTACAAAACTAATAATAGAGTAGGTACAAATAAATCTGAAATTTGTACCGAGAGTTACGAGTATTTCCAATCATATTAAGAATATAATTAGAAATTGCACTTACAGATAACATAGTGAGGTTTACAGTCGTGACGTCACCAATAGTCCATTCGGGATGATCAGCTAACTGCTTTTTCGATTCAGAGCGAATGTCCATTAGCTTGTCTATCATGTACCTTAGCTATAATAAAGAATAATGTCATTTTTTCTTTTGTTTCCTATTTCAAAAAGAGGATGTCAGAAGTGGGATTCGAACCCACGCCCACAGAAGTGGACTGCGACCTGAACGCAGCGCCTTAGACCGCTCGGCCATCCTGACTTGGAAATAATTATTCAAATATCATTCTAGTATTTGACAGCTATTCGTTTTTATTACTTGTATTAGTATTTAAACCTCAGAATCAACCAATCAATCAACTTGTCAGAATATTTTATTTCCTTTTATCTATGATACCTGATTCCTCATAAATGGCCAGTCCAATTTGGGATATTCGTATTTGATTTAAAGAGGTATACTTTCGAGTTGGTTTGATCATCAGGTCATAATCAGATAATATAATAACGGGTCATAGAGAAACAGACGGTACTCTTCAAATATTTTAGACACCTACAGCAATTTAGATGTTTTTTAAGGCGTTTATTTGATGAAGCAGAAGTAAGTCAACAATAATGATACCCTTACACATCTCACACACAGCCCTCTGACCCCAAACTAGGCAAAGCCTGTGCTATGGTAACCAGACTGATGATAAACATAATTACCTAAATATTCCTAATATGCATGTTACATACATATAATAGATAAATTACACCCAGACACAAAACAAATCATCGTGCTCATCACACAATTATTTGTTCTGGATGGAAATCAAACAAATGACCTTCGGCAGTCATGATTACTAACCAAGAGAACAAAAGGCCAGTCAACTGACTGACTGCACGGATGGCGTAGTGGTTTAAGCGGTCGCCACACCGCTTCCTACTACGCCGAGTGTTGTGGGTTCAAACCCCACATGGGACGACACTTTGTGTGATCCAAAAATTGTTGTTCTGAGTCTGGGTGTTCTTTGTGTCCGTTTCATGTATGTTTGTAAAGTCCCCCGCGACACAGGATTTATTCCTAATGCGGGCGTTGTCTTTTAAAAAAAATAAAATAATAATAAGTATATTGTCGTCACAATGAATGTGATAAAGTTCTACTTGTGCTAGCCTAATTACAGCAGTCCCTCAACTCTGAAGCCGTAGATATGCTTCAAATGGCAAGGGCGAGTTCTTCTTTACGACTTTATCCAACACTATTTAGTTTATCCGTGTGGTGACTGATTAAGAATACGGAATGTCACCACCCCTATTCGTCCCGTGGGTAAGGGCAAACTACGCAGGACTACAGCACTGCCAAGGGAAGGAAAACTTGACACAAACTAAAACCTATACTATATACTATACCTATACCTATAGTAGGCCAAAACCTCCTTTCTAAGGAGACTCCTATGTCCAGTAGTGGACTATTATAGGCTGTTGATGATGATGATGTGATTTAGTTTACACACCAACATTAATGTTGATCTTTTTTTTTATTGGGAATAGCTTTTCGCACCATACCGTGAGGACGTGTGTGAGACTCCCGGAGAACCGGTCTTCCTACTAAAGCCGCGGCGGCCTACCTCGGCTGTCGGGAGGAGCTCCAGGAACGCATCGGCGGCTTCTTATAGAGGCCTCCCTGCCATACCCCACGATTGTGGCACATCCCAGGGAGACCATGATCACGACTAGGTCGGGATGTTGCCGCGCCCCTCACCGCTCTACACAGTAAGAGGCGCAACAGCGTCCGGCCTTAGACGACACCCCCCGGCCGCACCGGAGTGTCACCTATCTCGGGTCGTGTGCAGCGGCCACATTACCCCAAGATGTAGCCGCAGCGATTGGGGAGCTAGCGACCTCTTCCGCATCCCCTTCGCTGCCTCCTGCGAGGGGGATCAGCCCTCTCCCGATCTCGCTCTCTGGCCTCCTTTTGGAGCATAACGTCCTCGCAGAAGGAGACCGCGGCTGCCCATCCTTCGCCACTTTCGCTCGCACGACTCAACGCTCGGACTCCCATGCAGGGCAGTCTTCCAGCGTGTGCTGGGCGGAGTCCCTGTCCACAGTGGTGGCATTATTCTAGAATAATGCCACCACTGTGGACAGGGACTCCGCCCGAGGTTCGTCCGATTCGATTCAGATACTCACCGAAGCAACCGTACTCGGTGAGCATCTGAGTCAATCGGTAGGTGACACAGTCATTCCTCCCTACCCACGCTTCGAAGCTCGGCAGGACCACGTGCTTGCCACGACCGCAGCGACTGCGTATGCGCCTTCCGCCGTAGCATTCCGACTTACGACTTCCTAGGATTAACTTGAGCTAAATATGGGGGCGGTTGAAACGGTTATGGGAGATTCAAAACGTTTACAATATGTTTCAGAAAAGTAAATAGAGAATGAATATTGTGTAGCGATGCACCTCAAAAATAACTGTACTTTTAAAACGGTACTTATGATTTACAGACTAATTTTTGCACAATTAATTGTTATAAATAACAAAACAAAATCCTTTACAATGGCTATTTGTGGACACTGTTTGTAAATTAATTCTTTTTGTAATATCCTTATTTTGGTCTCCTATACTTGAGGAAGCCCAGGATATCCTGATCTAAAATTTTATTCACTCTGAAATAATGATGATTAATAGAAAACATTTTTTTAAGTACTAATCTCAGAGATATTGAAAGATTATCAAGAATTAATATTCTCGCACATTTCACACAATTATATCTTAGAAACAACTTTTTATTGTTACAGTATATATTAGTAGAGTAACTATAAGAGTACTTATTATAAAGACACTTTACACCAACTAAATAATACAAAAACTAAGTTTAATTATCAATCGTAATGTTATAGACACAGAGATTTGCTAAGCGTAGTTGCGTAGAGGAAGGTATGTGTTTTTGTGTGTGTGAAGTTTTGTGTCTTATGATTTCTTATAATGTTCTTGCCACACTGACACAAATAGGTGCCAATTATGTCTAGACGCCTTCGTCTAATGGAAATGATCATCGATGGATGAGATTTGCGTCTTTACATCTTTACTTATTATAACGCATATAAGTGACAGTGACCCTAAAGTTAGCGATGTTAAATTAAGTAGAAGCACATTTATGAATAAGCAAGTAAACGTTAGCAGGACATGTCAAAATTGTCTTCAACATGTCAAAGTTGAAACTGCTAACAAACTCATATGAATAATTATTATCAAGTGTTTAGTGGTTGTAGATTAGCATGAAGCCGGTACAAACTTCGAGCTTTTGCTCGTTTGATATAACTCTTTAAACGATTTCTTATGCGTAACAATAACATATTTGTAGTATCATTTTAACCTCCTTCAAAAAGGGGCATGTTCTAATTCGGGTGTGTTTTATTGTTTGTTAGTTCAAAATATTAATATTATTATTATATACAACTTCGATCAAACATGTCTAACTGAAACGCTGAATCTAAAAGTAAAAACTAATTACATATTAAATTGACTGCACGGGTGGCGTAGCGGTCACCTAGCCGCTTCCTACTGCGATGAGTGTTGTAGGTTCGATCCCCAAATTGGACAACACTTTGTGTGATCCACAAATTGTTGTTCTCAGTCTGGGTGTCCTTTGTGTCCATGTCATGTATGTTTGTAAAGTCCCCCGCGACATAGGATTTATGCCTAGTGCGACAGTTGTATTTAAAAAAAAACATTTTTGATTTATATTTTACTGCAGTGTCTTATAAAAGGAAAGAGAGTTGAAATGAATGATGATTTTAAATTTTATATACATTAATTAGCGAACATGTATCATAGTTATAACAGCTTTTTAATACCGATGGAGGATAAATTCTATTTTTTATTCTACATTTTGAAGCCTGTCAACTTGAAGCGTTGAAACTTGACAAAATGTCTTGGATTATTATATTACAGTATTCAGTATACTTTGAACTGTCATTATTTATTTGTAACATGATTCAAAATAGTCCGTGTGGTGACGGATTAAGAATACAGAGTGTCACCACCCCTATTTATCTCGTGGGTGTCCTAAGAGCCGACTAAGGGAGCAAACTACGCAGAACAACAGCACGGAGAGAATTCTGTCTCTACACGCACTTGCAAATGGCTGATGTAACCAACTTTGGCAAGGAATATGCGGTCACATTCAGGATAGGTGAGAACATAACCACGGTAATTCGATTTCGTAGTCGCGAGTGGTCAGGCCAGGCTTTGAGATCACCGTGCTTTTTCCGTCGCTTCGCTTATTCTTGAAAACAAAGCTCTTTGAAAGCAAAAAATTACTAAACCGTATAGTTAGTTAGTTGCCCTGTTTTAGTTTGGATTAGAGTAGCATCCAAAAGTAGTATTAGGTCTTGCTGACCAAGAGATTGTCGAATTTCGTCGATACTCTCTCGGTCTGTAAACTCGTTACACAGTAGCCATTAACATTTACATGACAGATAATGTAATTAGGGTACAGGTATTGAAGAGAATATGGGGATTTTTATAAATCTCTTATATATTCTCGATAGTTCTCAATTCGTTTGTTTTTTTTTGTTTGTTACGTCAGAATTCCGTCATTTATGAAATTATAATTTGGGAAGGTATTATTTGGTTTTTCAAGAAACCAGTTCGTTCTTTCTGAGAATTTTATCGTTGTTTTGATTGATAAAACTTTAAAGAATGCCCTGAATCATACTAATACTGAAGTATATTTAAGAATATAATTAAGAATATTTGTTAAGAATCGATTATTTTTGGTGGTTTGCAGATATTGTTTTGACACCGTTTGTAACTAATTTAAGTAACGAACTGCGTGTTCGCACACGCAGTTCTAAAGTAAAGTAAAAATTTATTTACAAAAATGTTTGTTATTCCATCACACCAATATGCTTGAAATTTGGCATAGAAACGGAAAAGAGCGACAAACAATCGCGAGTGATACTGCGGACAAAATTAATATAAAATCAACGCCATTTGCCGTAAGTTAAAAAGGTTAATATGTAATAGGTTAAAAGTATTACTATATTGTTTTTTTTTTGTTTAAATTACAATTTCTTTTAGTTTTATACAAAGTTATGGAAAATTCTCGAATTATTCATGTCAAAACCCAAACATATATATGCAAAGGCAGGACGTTACATTCCAGAGGGCGCCAATGCCATAACGTAACCGTGTCTTTAATTTTTAAGCATGACAACCCTATGGGACTCTGAATGAAATATGGCGACTCTCTTGCTTTAGTACAAAATTAAAACTAGATGAATTAAATTCGCTTTAGAAATTGTATGACTCAACAAACTTAAAGCTTTATAAGATACTGTCTAAGTTTCGGAATTATACTAACTGTAAGGACATTTGTTACCTAATTTTAACGTATTTATATTTTTTAAATCTAATATTGTTGTCGTATTATATTTACGAGTATATCACGTTAAACGGTAGCTAAGGAGATTTATTACTCAGTTTTATTTCAACGTAGACAAATATCTCTAATGGTTTTATTTCCTGGTTTCACTCAGCATAAAAAACGTGATTATGCTAACTATGTTTGAATTCGGAGTCGGGTAATTTGTTATCAGGTTTTATAAGCACCTTCCAGCAACGAAAAGGAATCTCTAGAGCCTAAAATATTGGTACTAAAACTGTCAACGCTGTCGTAGACTTAGAAGCAGAAAAAGATAGACACTAAATATTGCTGAAAAGCATAATTGCATATCTATGATCTAGACGGGTAATGAACGTCAGGTATCGAGCCAATAATCCTTGCCTTAATAACTCAGTTGTAATTTTATGTAGATACGGAGGATTATCGCTCGCCCTCTTTTATTAATGATATATACTGTATCGGTGGTGCAGTGGTAGTTTATGCGACTGCTGTGCTGAGGCGATTTCCGGATCGGACCAAATTTTTGTATGATCTGCAAATATTTGTTTCGGAGTTTGGGTGTTTTCTATGTATTATATGTATGTATGTATTTACAAAAAAAAGTATATAAGTATTGTATCAGTCAATCTAGCTTTCATAGTAAAAGCTTTGCCTAGTTTGAAACTAGATGGCGTTGTGTGTCAGATGTCCAGAAATATTATAATATAATACGCTGAGCTTTACAATGCATCATTATTTTGCAATTCATTGCTCGCTGTTATTCTCACTTATCCACTTTGGCACTGTGCCACAGACGTATGACAGGCAATGTAGTCACAATTACTGAATTAGGCGATTAATTAATAATTATTTATTAAGATCGATTCATGCTATATGTTGAGCCATAAATATGAAGTACGCGGCGAATTTTCTCTGTGTCAGTTCATACCGCAGTTTGATTTATAAATTAAACTGCGACATGGACGTAGAAAGAAACAGTCTAAAGACGGTTTCTTCTTTCTAGAACCTAAGTTTTAACCGCTCAAATAAAAAAAAACCGTTTATATAACATATGTAATAATATTAGCATCCATAGTTATATAAAAATTTGTAAGTGAGTTTGTTTGTTACGCATTCACGCTTAAACTTCTGAACCGATTTTTTTTATTCTTTCAACAATGGAAAGCTACCAGCTTCCTATCAGTGAGTAACACAAGCTAATAGTAATAGGCTTTTTACAGCGATATCCGACATACAGGCAGGTGGAGCCACGAGCAAACGGTGGTAAAAGAAAAAAAAAAACTTCCTTTTAAAAAGGGAAGCAAAATCTTTTGGTACGGTTAAGATGGCTTAAGAACTAAGCCTATGCTTTATTGCCACCTACAAACTGCCCTGTAACTGGAACTGAAACTATGGCATGTCCAAATTAAATATCTGTTTAAAAAAGTTTTAAGTAACTTAGTATTGGATCAAAGCCTAAGCGATAGACATGTTAAAGGAGGTTTTTAATGTTTCTGTAAGGCTGGAATTAATAAACAATGTTATTTTTGAAGGTTTAAGGAACATTTGAGCCTATTATTCAAGTAATTTTATCATATAATAATAGTTTAGCACTTGTAGAAGTACTTAGTACTTCTATATCACACTAGCTGACCCGCGCAACTTCGTCTGCGTCTCTCAATAGTAATAAATTTTCTCCGTTTTTGAAACATTCTTCATTAGTGCTCCGCTCCTATTGGTCTTAGCGTGATGATATATAGCCTATAGCCTTCCTCGATAAATGGGCTATCTAACACTGAAAGAATTTTTCAAATCGGACCAGTAGTTCCTGAGATTAGCGCGTTCAAACAAACAAATAAACAAACAAACAAACAAACTCTTCAGCTTTATAATATTAGTATAGATTATAATTAAAGATAAATCGTTATTATCTTCTGTAGAAGATACGTACACTTAGAGTTGTTTCTAAAGTTAATCTCCTCAATTACGAGCGATGATTGTCTGTACTCTACATATTAAATTGTATGACGTATCCCAGCTATTATTATAACTGTGTTAAATAAGAACCCAAGATTATAGTTATGTGATAAGATAACCCAATCACGACCGCGACAAAATATGGTTTATTTCGTTACAAGCAGTACAACACCAATATTTTTTGGGACACCAAGAAAAATAAAGGAATTAACACTATCCCTTGATTTTTATTCCGGGAGTGCGTCATATTATATACTAGATATTCGGTTATTGCGGTAAAAAGGAGCCTATGTTACTCGCTGATAATGTAGCTTTCCATTGGTGAAAGAATTTTTAAAACAGTTTTAGTGGTTTAGACGTGAAAGCCCAAGAAACAAACAAACATACTCACTTTCACATTTATAAAATAAGTATGGAAACAAAACAGGACTCTAAAACATTAACTGAAATCTGTCTGTAAATCATAAAACTTCTTGTAATAAATTTGATTATGGCAATAGTTATATATTTATATAAGTACGTATGTTATAAAAGCACCAGAGGGCCAAGTGCGAGTTTATTTCACATTGACTCAATCGTCACGGTGACGTTCGGCGCTGCGATTGGCCCACACTAAAATCTTAACCAATCGCAACGGTGTCTGTAATAGGAAATGTCGGGCAACGGACAGATAGCTAAGAATAGCTAATTATGCACTATTACCCGAGTGGAGCTTGTTTACAATGATAAGGAGTATCAATATGTACTACCATATCATCTCACACACCGCCGCGTTTATATATTGCCTTGGTAACACAATAAAGAGTATTGTATGTATGTGTTATTTTTTATCATAAGTTATCTGCGAAATTTTATCCTTTTTGTTCTTTTTAGCCGATTGGCGTAAAAGACTAAGTATGCATCTACCAATTTATTCTTCTTTACATATAAACACTTTTTTTATGGTATAAGGGGGCAAACGAGCAGACGGGTCACCTGATGGTAAGCTACTACCGCAGCCCATGGGCACCTTTAACTCAAAAGTCACAAATGCGTTGCCGCCCTTGGAGTCCCTCCCGCTCGAGTCAGCGAGAGGGGGGATTTGGGCTCCGGTAACCTCACTCACTCAGTGAAAGACAACGAAAGAATTGCTTAACACCGGTTTATGATATTAGTAAGATAATATTAAAATAAACTATTGATTTACCACATTTCTTAAAATATTAAAACTAAAGCACCTTCCCATAGACACTCTGTATATATGGTCACATTACAAATCTAAAATCACTACTTACTAGATCGTCCGTTCCAGATAGTTTATCGATTTAAAAAAGAAGTTCGATTTTCAAATTACGTCATCCGTGTGATTTAAATTTATGATTCTCGCATTTAGTCTCTGTTTAATTTTTTTAATAAATCAATCATTGTAAGTATAAGCTATCCGTGAATGCTCTTCTAAAGGTCCAGGAAAAGCACATCGAATGCTTTTGTATGATATCGTAACAATCTTTTTGTTGTAAATCAGTGAATATATAAAATAATAAATAATCTACCTAACCTTTTCACCATTATTGTCGGGGAGTAGGAGCGAGCCGTGGCCGGACTTGCCCGGGCAGACGACCTTCAGATCTGTAACGAATCCAAATAGCTTGATTAAATAATATCTGGATAACCCCTCGTCTATCCTGATAACTATTAGATGAGAACTGTAGTTTGCATAGGAAATTTGACCCGCAATAGATTTTAGATAGGGTTTTGGAACGTAATTACTTTGGAGAGTTTTAGTTTTTAGGTTAAGTTGTCATTGCTTAAAGTTGTTATTGAAAATGAAAAAATATGTAAGTGCTTTTAGAATATTTTTATAACAGCTTAGACAGTTATAACTTCAATTGTGATAATATAGAGTTAGCTAATTACTATGCAGTATAGCTTTTTGTAGCCGTTTTTATAACTTATAATCCAGGAGCGTAATTTGTTTAAAAAAGAATACAAGTTTTTTTTCTTTCTTTTTTATAGACAACTTCCGCATTAGGAATATATCCTGTGTTGCGGGGGACTTTACAAACATAAATGAAACAGACACAAAGAACACCCAGTCTCAGAACAACAATTTGAGGATCACACAAAGTGTCGTCCCATGTGAGGTTTGAACCCACAACACTCGGCGCAGTAGGAAGCGGCGTGGCGACCGCTTAAACCACTACGCCATCCGTGCAGTTCTCTTCACGTATAAATATATAGGTTTATGAACTATTGCTTAAGCTTAACTCGTTGCTTAAGGTTACCATTATTCAAACTTCTTTTTATAACGTATGAGTGGATAAGCAACTATTAGGCCAACCTGTTGACAAGTTGCTATCGATGCCAATAGTAGGTAACAATACCAGTGCTTGCCAAACATTTCCCTACTCTTGAAATCTTGATCAGAAGATTATGGTAAGCATCATCAATACGTAATCATAATTAGCTTTATTTAAGAGGTCAGGGACTATTCGAAAAAGCTCCAATTTCACAATAAATCCACCTTTTTTTGTCTAGAGTCATGTAAAAAATGTGAAAAGTTTTTTGCTATTTGTGCAGAATTAAAAAAAAATGTTTGGCAATTTTACAGCCTTTTCTTGAGGAAATATTCTAAGTATTATACTATGATACTAGAAATCACTTATCACATACTATAATCATTACGACGACGACATTATAGTGACTACCGAATGGCGTAGTGGTTTGTGTAACGGACTGCTATTCCAAAGGTCGCGAAACGATTCCCGCTCAAGTCAAACATTTGTATGCATGAACTTTTAATGTTTGATTTGGTCTGGGTGTTTCTTTGTATAATATGTATTTACAAAAAAAGTATATATGTATTTATATCAGTTGTCTAGCACCCATAGTACAAGCTCTGCTTAGTTTGGGACTAGATGGCGTTGTGTCAATGTGGTAGAATATTAGAATATTATACAATACCAAATCAATTAGCAAAAGGAACTGTATTAAGTTAAAGGAGTTTTCTAAACTTCAATCGCATCCTTTGGCACTAATTTTATTCGCACAAGTTTTATATAACTACTGAAATACTTACGCCAAATAGTTCTCTCGCCGCTAAAGATCTGGTACTCATCAGTCGCACTGCCAATGCCTTCGTCTAAAGCGAAGCCGACGTTCAATTTCTTGAAGTCATCGGTTTTTACAAATTGCCCCATACCGGGTTCACCACCAATTTCTTCATCTAAAACAAGAATAAATTATTACCTACATATTACTAGCTGACTGGTGTAACAGACATTGTACCCGTTGTTGTAACATTTTTGATTGATGCTTGAATCAAGCTCGGGCTCGTGGAAAAGTGTTACCACTAGTGTTGTGACCACCCCTATCCATCCCGTGGGTTAGGGGATTAAGGGAGAAAACTACGAATCACAAGAGCACTGCAGAGAGAAGGAAAACTTGACACAAACCATATACCAACCCGTTTGGCCAGCGTGGTAAAGTAAGCCAAAACCTCCTTTCTATTGAGAGGCTTATGTACAGCAGTGAACTTTTAAAGGCTGTTGATGTGATGTTGATGTAGTGTTTTCGAGTAGGTTAACACATTTCAAAGTTAAACAAACCAAGTCAGATCAGTATGGATGGGTGACCATTCTTAACATATTGAGACACCTCCGTGCCTCGGTACCGGTTGCGATACGAGCATCTGTCGCAATCTTTACGGGTACTTGGAACCCTAAAAAGTGCGACAACAGTCTTTCTACAGAACTTCGATGTCGCCTAGTACTTGGGTTGAAGAGATCTGATGGCAGTCGCTCCGCGTAAAAGATCGAAGTTAAGATGTATGATGTATATGTAGACTTAAACACTTCATGTTTAAAGCGTTTAAGTCTACTACGATGAAGCGTTGCCACCTTGACCCATCGCAGTGGGAGGCAGTGGCGGCGGATAGGCCACTGTGGAGGCGTACTGTGTGCGCTAAGGTGCTCGAGTTCGAAAGACTACGGAAAGAAGAGCTCGACGCAAAACGGAAAAGCTGAAGGCCCGACCACCGGCGGCCATATATTATAATTATATCGGGGGAACGCTGACTTGCAGTGTAAGTGGACGCACGTTCACGGCAAAAATCGGTTATGTCAGCCACCTGGGAGCACATCAACGAAGCTCTCATTAAACAGTGCCAAGTTGCCGTGGCCGAATACGGTCTGGACTTACACACACACAGTAGACTTAAAACCGAAGTTGGGAAAAAGGCTCGGAGGAAGAGGAAGAGAGAATCTTGGGTCCTGCCGGTCGTAGCGTTATCTTATATAATCTATAGCCTTCATCGATAAATGATCTATCCCTGTTGCTTCCCTGTTTAAAAGGGTGTATGCCTATTTTACTTCATTTTGTCTCCCGCTTTACTAAGGAGGGAAGTGGATTTACTGTTTTTCCAACTCCTCCAATTTTCTTCTGATTAATTTCGTTGCGGGTTCCAAGACAGTTTAATTTCTTCCTGGGACTTCCCGAGTGTCATAACTCGGTGTGTTCGTGGGTCACTGCTGTGGATCCTGGAGTACAGGAGTTACAGTGGTGGGCGTGTGGGTGGGATTAGTCCCAATAAAAAAAATGAGCTATCCAACACTAAAAAAAAATTTCCATTCATACCACTAGTTCCTGAGATTAGTGAGTTCAAGCAAACATACAAACTCTTGAGCTATATAATATTAATATAGAATAAAGGCTTCAAAGTTTAAAAAGAAATTAATGCTCAAATTAACAGTAAATGTCCAATTTTAATACAAATCTTTAAATTCATTCTCTACACTTAATCTACGAATTATTAAAAAAAAATCGTTTCATCAATATCAAAACCAAACACAAGACAGTTGCTGACACATTTCAAACAGCTAAGGGCTCTTGTAAGATCGCTAACTCTCTTCTCGCAGATACTAGAGACACAATAGATCCAGATAAAGCCTCTGCCATATTGCTGGCTTATTAAGAAGCATCAAAGGGTACTAGATGTTTTGTGTGAGCTAATAATAGATAAGGAACGTACGAGTATGTATGTTAAATAACACACATATTAACAACTGATCTTGAAGTACATATTTGATAATCTTGCGCTAATAATCATGAAGAAATATAACATAAACAATTTTCCAATCTTTATTCGTTAATTTTCTCACTTAGCAGTAGAATTTCTTGTTGAAAATTTATCGGAAGTGAATGGAAAGTATAACCCTTTCAAATAAAGTCACAATTTTTCATATCGGTTCAAAATTATAGGGTTCTGAGGTATATAACAAAATAATATAAAAAACATACAGCCAACTTGACAACTTGAGAAGTAGGTTAAAAAAAAAAAAAAAAAGAGTGAATGGCTCACGGTAATTCTTTGCCTGTCCCGGTTCATTAGTAGATGCATTGAATGTACACTTTTGACTCCACACGTTAATGACGTCACGTAATTATTAACATGGATCGTATAATTAATGTGGGTAATATTTAATTCTAGTCTATTAATAAAAAAAAATATCATCATCATCATCATCATCATCATCAGCCTATCGCAGTCCAATAAAAAAATAAATAAATAGTATTTATTAGGTTTCATCAACAGCCTTTAGTAGGCCACTGCTGGACATAGGCCTCTCCCATTGCACGCCACTTAGATCGATTTTGGGCTTCTCGCATCCAGCTCCTGCCAGCCATCTTGCGCAAATCGTCACTAAATACTATTTATATTTTTTAAAAAAAATATAAATAGTATTTATTAGGTTTCATCAACAGCCTTTAGTAGGCCACTGCTGGACATAGGCCTCTCCCATTGCACGCCACTTAGATCGATTTTGGGCTTCTCGCATCCAGCTCCTGCCAGCCATCTTGCGCAAATCGTCACTAAATACTATTTATATTTTTTAAAAAAAATATAAATAGTATTTATTAGGTTTCATCAACAGCCTTTAGTAGGCCACTGCTGGAAATAGACCTCTCCTTAGAAACTAGGTTTAGACCTACTATACCGCGCTGGTCAGACGCGGTTTCGTGCCTACGTCACTCATTTACGCAAAAGTTGTTTTTTTTTTTCATGAAACAGTATGAAGGTCAGTTTGTTGATGAACCTACGAATTGCGTCTGAGCAGTTACTATTACTATTGATTACTCTAGTGGTTAGACCAACGGGATTGGCCTTCTAAGAAATAGACTATGTGGGTATTCTAATACAAATAAAATTTGAATACGTACGATACGCAAACCCAGTTTTCTACTGCAGTATTCCGCAGCATATCCTCTTATACATATATAAACCTAATGAGCCCCTGAGCGAACATCGGATAAATATTACATGCGTTCAGATTCAGATGTTCTACGCTATTTACGAGTATTGATATAATCATTGGGATTTTAAGAGCCTACCTTTGCGACTAAATCTTTTTTCAATACTAATTTATAATATTAATCTTTATATTTTATTTGACACCTTTTAAATATGGTTAGTGTGAGGTAACCCGAAGGCAGGTATTGCAGATAGACCTCGGCCTAGGGAATGAAAATGTACATTATGTATATATTTTATAATGGATACATATGACCATAGACATCTGCAACTCAAGAGCCTCTATGTGTTGCCTCCTGATCGCGTTTTTCCGTCGCCATCCTACCCTCTATCGCAGCAATTGATCTGTCACCAGAGGTCCCCACGTAGCACGTAGCCACAGGGCCGATCCCGAACGTACTGGCGTTCGGGATCGGCCCTCTCCCGATCTCGTTAATACTTCAAATACAACCATTAGAATTAAGGGAACCAACCTGGCACAAAGGAGAGATGCACTGTCCTTTTCAGCCTGATGCTTTTGGCCTTCAGCCTCTTCACACATTCTAGATACTGAACAGCAACAGACTTCATATCTTGGACTCCTCTTCCATAGATAAAACCATCTTTTAAGTGAGCTTCGAATGGTGGGTATCTCCAGCTTTTCTGATAACAATAAAATAAATATAATATCAGTACACACATGAGATACACACTCGTAACTGCATAATCACACGAATACGATTACAAGACTAATGATATGATCATGAAGATGGTGTCAAGATCAAGATTTTTTCTACTATTTTTTTTTGTTGATTTAGAAGATCGAATCACCCAATGAAAAGTAACTACCGTTGCCGATGTACACCTGTAATACAACTGTTTATTTCGGGGCTAAGGTTATACTATAGTCATTTATTTTGTATAATATAGATTAGCAAGCATTATAATGAATGTGTTTTCTTTCTACTGTTTAACAAAATATATGCTATGAGTGACTGTCACGATAATCCTTTGTGCTCAAGGGTCGTGATACCCTGATTAACATTAAAACAGAAAGTTTTACTTTATGTTAATTTTTATCGCGTTTTCCACCTAAATGTTTTAACGTGCTGCACAAAACTGCCTGACAGTTAGCACGGTGCGGAGTTTCTAGAATTTGTTATGATATGCTAATACGATAAACGTAAGCATTTGTATACATGGGGACGTCACGTCACTGTAAATAGATTTCGAATGTCCGCCAATGAATTATGTTGATGTTACACATACACATTATGAACATTGCTTGTCTCATGACAGATTTAAAATGTTTTAAATGTTGTCATTTATATTATTGTAGGTTATTTACAACAAATCGAATCAAATCTAAGTTTATTTGTTTTGAAAATAGGTGCTCACATAATGTTATAGGTGAGCTGGTTATAAAATAACCCGTGTGTATTCTGATTTAAACTAGTGTGTAACATTTTGGTAAGTGGTAAAAGTATGGTTGATGAAAATAATATATGGAGTTAAGGACTTGCTTAAAATAATATAAATTAATTTTAAAAATAATAACATCTAATCCAAGTAGTTTAGTCTCAGCCCTAAACAGAAATGCTTATAAAAAAATTGAAGTGCTATATTATATAGCCGATAAACTATTTGATTTAGCTAGAAAGGAATATATGATTTACGTTCCTAAACAAATTAGTATTCATTTCAATGATTCCATAATTCAAGTCAGTATAAATGACGTTTGTTTTTTTTATTTTTCATGGATATTTCATCAACATCCTAATTTCTAAGTTCAATTTGTCAGCTTCAAATTAAGTTTAAATTTCAGTTTTTTTTTTCAATATTATTAAAGTTTGTAATTATTACTACTACTACTTTGCGACCATTACATTTTACCATTATTTTCTTTAACGTTTTCTACAAACCGAAGACTCTACTCCGGTGTATATAATACATTTTATTTTCTAACGGGTGTGCAATCAGCTTTATCTCAATTCTATTAAATACTATTATTAGCGATGAAGACTACTAATAGAGTTATTTAGAATATATTATCCTGCACATATCTGTGGCTCAGTGCCAAAGTGGATAGGTGGCAATTGTAACAAGCCATGAATTTGGGAATACTGGTTATATTTGACGTCTGCTAACAGACAGGTCAACATTGAAACAAATGGGTCAGAGAGAGAAGCTTATAAACGGCAGTTGGACCCATTATGAGATAGCTTGGAGTATGGATGGATAAGACGAGAATAGTAAAATCAATTAAACACATCTTACACACGACTAGTTTGGGATCAAACGGATCCTAAACTAAACAGAGTCTGTCGTATGGTCACGAGATTTCTAATTAATTTACTTACCATATAAAGTACGAATAGATATATTAAACCCAGACACAGAACAGATATTATTCGGTCTGGGTCGAAAGCGAATACATGACCATTGCAAACGCTATACCAACAGGTCAGTCAAAGTCAGAATGTAGCTACAACAGACTGGATGTAGCGGTGTGCGTAGAGGAGAACCGGGTGCTAAGGTGCAATTTTTTTTTTGTGGTTCACTCAAAGTGTCGTCCCATGTAACCCACAGGTTCAAACCCTACATGGGACTATACTTTGTGTCGTCACACACTCGGCATAGTAGGAAGCGGCGTGGCGACCGCTTAAACCAATACGCCATCCGTGCAGTCAACAGGGACAGGCCTACGTTCTGTTATTGTACTACCATAGGCTAATAGATTGTTTTTAAGGCTATCAAAAGCTTTTGGCAGATACTGGGAAGAATAAGATAATTATAAATATATAATATATTACTACAAACTTAAAACCTATATTATTTTACCTCAAACACCGGTACAACATCCATATGCGAGTTTAATAGGATACTAGGTAATGATGGTTCAGTGCCTTCCCATGTGATAACAGCCACTGGTTTTTTTGGCCTGGGCTCATACACATGCACAGGTAGACCAATCTCCGATGCTTGACCACGGATGTAGGTAATACAATCATCTGAAATAAAAAAAAACCTTGCATTGCTTTTGACTTAGTTGGACAAGAGTGTATATCGTAGTCAAAACTTCTCAAGACGGTCTAAGGCCAAGTATAGATCCCTGTGGCACTCTGCAAGTATCTTTTTGGAGAATATACAAGTTAGTGCACTGTGTTGTACCTGTATGTTTTTGTTTTTTTTTATGATGAGTACTATATTAATTATCGTAAAGTCATACGCAGCATCTGCCTTTCTGATTGCGATAAGTTTGAAAAGTATTACACAATTTCTACACACAGGTTTTTTACGTATAACATATAGTTTGATTAGTTTTTGTATTTTTATTTTTAAACGAACAGTATATTATAGTAATTATGCCTCTTAAATAATCTATGGCAGAAAAAAAATATAGGCAAAATATGCTTGGACATGATATATGTTTGTGTGTATATATTATTTACGTTGAAGTGGTTAACTAAATGCCCAAGACTTTTCTGCGATAAGAAACACATGTAAACAGAATAATAATTATTTTGATAAATAAATCTAATAATTATTCAAATAATTTGAAATCTATCTGACATCAAACGAACAATGCTTTTTCAACTGCTTTAATCTTTGCGCCGAGTGCTGTGGGTTCAAACCCCACATGGAACGACACTTTGTGTGATCCACAAATTGTTGTTCTGAGTCTGGGTGTTCTTTGTGTCCGTTAAATATATGTTTGTAAAGTCCCCCGTGACACAGGAATGTATTCCTACTGCGGGAGTTGTCTTTAAAAAAAAAAAAAATTTGCGACCCTGTCAATCAAGTAAACATTGTTCGTTTTTGCAGAGCTTTCGTAACAGCATTGGTGTATAAATATCATTTTAAGGGCAGTACAGCAGACGTATAAAAACTTAAAGGTGACCGCGATGTTCTAAAAAAAGGTTCATTGTGAGGTGTAATCTGTCGTGCCCTCGGCTTAATGAGACGTGATAAATATTCTGGGTTTTGCTTGCAACACAAATATTAAATTTGAATAAACAAAATTGTTAAATTGCTGAGTTTCTATACATTACTATTTTGTATGCAAATTTATATTAGATATAATGTTTAATTTAAATTAGGATTAATTTAATGTAAATTTATATTAGGATTCAAATAATTTTAGTATGTACACAGTACAACACTGGTAAAATAACTTAAATGTATTAAATCGTGTAAACGAACGAAGTGTCACCACACCTATTCATCCAGTAGGTAGTTAGGTAGGTAGGTAAGAGCCTACTAAGGGACCAAACTAACAGGATAACAGCACTGCAAAGACAAAGAAAACTTGACACAAACCATATACCAACCCGTCTGGCCAGCGAGGTGTAAAATGCCAAAACCTCCTTTTAAGGAGAGGCCTATGTCCTTTTTAAGGCTGTTGATGTGATGTGTGCTTAAAAACCTATACAACCACTACAAACATAAAGTCAAATCTAAACTTCTATGCAAAAATAATAATATATATATATTTTTTTATTTATTATCTTCTCTTCATCATCATCTCAGCCGCAAGACCTTCACCAGGTCGTTGGACCTCCTTATGAGGGTCCTACCCACGCTGCCACCCACTCGAGAGCTTTACAGTTCCATCGGCTATCTTTTCTGCGAATCCCGCCCACTGTCACTTAAGAATGGCAATTATCCGGGCAATGTCAGTGAGCCGCGGGGCCGAAAAACGTCATGCAGCTACCCGACGGTGTTTAGCCCAGTTGGATTCGACGATTGACCTCTTTTTCAAAGTTGGATCTACGTAACTGGATAGTTTGTCCTGGGTATACGTAATCGTCAACAACTTTGAGTTTAGAGTCTATAATTTTCACTGGAGTGGGTGCGACACGGACGTCCTACAATTTTCGTCTCATCCATGTTCATTCTAACCCCCACTCGTTTAGAGACCCTACTTTATAAGGCTATCGAGGCTTGTGTTAAAGTCTTCTATGGTTACAGCCATGACTACTATACCGTCAGCAAATTGAGGATGGTTGATATACTGGATATGGTGATATATTGATGTTGAAGTCCATAACAGAAGCTTGAAAACGTGTTCCAGTGCCGCGGTAAACAGTTTTAGAGATATAACGTCCCTCGTTCGGGTATCCCCTAAAAACTCACGCAAACAACACCGTAAAGGTATCTAATTTCAATATGAATACAATACGAGGTTTTAGTACTTCCTTTTAATGGACATTTATATGTACTAGAAATTTCCATGAACATACTGACATCAAAATATACTGAACTCCACTACTTACTTTTATATTGTTTTTATACAACTTTTGTTATTATATTGTATGACAGTTTTGCTTTCTGCGTTCATATAAACATTAGTTAACCAAATCTTATAAGCTTTCATGAGCCACATTTATTTAAAGCAGGGTGCAAAAAAATTGTTCAAATATATAATATATAGATAGAAATATACATACCGTAATTAACATTCGGATGAACACTTCGAATCCTCAGGTAATTCCGCAAATTAATTATAGCTGGATTGGACTCGTAATCGGTAGTCATTTTTCGTAGGTTTTCGTATTTATAGTAGTTTTTAAAAGAAACGAAAGATACCACAACGGTGCTTTCCTCGTAATGAAATATGACAAACAATAAACAAACACACACTTTTATAGGCAATTAAAATTTATCGTGAAATTATTTGAACAACCGCAAATAGTACTATCTTTGGTGAAGAGGAGATTGGGCAAATAATACACAACGTTTTATTTATTTGTTTATACATCTCACATCACATTTCGATTTTGTAATTGGTCTAATTGTAAAATTCTGTTATATCTGTCTTGCCTGTTGGTCTAGTTGTAACTTACAACTAGACCACCTGATTAATTTACAACTTGTAAGACATCCTGACTGCTAAGCCAGAGGTCGTGGGTTCGATCCCGCAAAGGACAATTAATTGTGTGATCAGCACGATCATTTGTTCTGTGTATGTGTGTAATAAGAAATGTGTGTGTATTTAGAAATATATACTTTTATACTAAGTAAGTAAGTATGTTAGGTATGCAAGTATGTTTATCAGCAGTCTGGTTGCCATATCAGAAGCTTTTAATGTTTTGCATTTCATTTCATAAAATACTAATGCAAAACATATTTATACGTAAATCATCACAAATAGCGTTATTTGTTTGAATACAAATTAATGTAATTTCTAAAATAATTAAATAATTATATGGATATACTGTTTGGTGTTTATCTGATAGTTTCAAGTTAATGAAATATATTATTGGCTTTTATGATGATTTTTTCGCACGACAACTTGAGATTTTTTCTACGCCTACGCTTTTTCTTATAAGTGAATATCCTTTCCTATTATTATTATTACCTGGTTGGTAAAATGTTGCCTAACCAGCAAAAGATACAGATTTAGTAAAGTTACAGATGTCTATTAAAAAAGTTTTGGTTCAAAACGGGCCTGTTGGTTTAGTTGTTAGTGACCCCGACTGCCAAACCTGAAGTCGTGGGTCCTCACCCAAGACAAATTATTGTGTGATGAGCACGACCATTTTTTCTGTGTCTCAGTGTAATTTATCTACAGTATGTATGTATTTAAAAATATTTAAGTGTTTATCAGCAGTCTGGTTACCATAGTACAGGTTCTAGTTAGTTTGGGATCAGAGGGCTGTGTGTAAGATGTGTAATATTATTATTATATGTATAGTTATATGTACTTTCTTATGTACTATCTGCCGGAGTCCATAATATAACTGCAATCACAACTGTCTGACAGTATGGTGTACAATAAATGTATGAAAAGAACTATATTACGCCCTTTTAATCATACATTTCATATAAGTTGAACCAACCTATAATATTCATAATTAGCCTTACAAGAATAAACAAGGCAATAATGAAACTGAGGAACCAGTGAGGAATCAAAATGACAAATAAAGTAAAATAAAATAAAAAATCTGTGCTTTTATTAAAACTTTCAAGAAAATATGAATATGGTTATTACTTAATTAACTTCCATAACATTTTGATATACTGAAACTTACATTTAATTATAAGAGTTTTATAATTTAACATTGTATCTTAAGTCTTGTAACTTAATCTTATTTAACAATTTGACATTAAACTCTTTGATTTCTGAAGATATGTATACTACCTAGTTCTTGACTATTGTAATATATACAATAATAAAGAAATATGCCTTTTGTCGCGAAACGGCAAGAAGGTACCATATTTATCTAGTATTTAGATTAAGTAAATACCGGGGATCTAAATAATATGAAAAAAATTAACAAAATACACAAATATTCTGTTATGTAATATGAAATTTCAATACTATCTAGCATGTCAGGATGGCCGAGCGGTCCAAGGCGCTGCGTTCAGGTCGCAGTCCACTTCTGTGGGCGTGGGTTCGAATCCCACTTCTGACAATCATTTATTTTGTGACTCAAATCATGTGCACTACGATTTTGTAGAAATAATTTGATACTATATTAATTAAATACAAGTCTTGCATAGAGACTAGCATGTTTCCACAGTTATGTTTTCATAAAAAAGCCTATTAAACAAAAATTCATACCAATACGTGTTATGACATAGTATGGTACAAAACAAAAAAAAAAATAGAGTTCCTCAACATTTTAAGTCAAAATGTTAGATTTTTTTGTCGTTTTGTCACGCTGGTAGAATAAAACAAAAATCAACTTAGTTATGGAGAAATTATAATGTATTAAATTGAACAAAACACGACGTAGGAATATATGTACAAAGCTTGGTCTTATACCTGCCTAAACACTATAAAATACTATCAAGATTGTACACCGAGATTTAATTTATTTATTTATTAATACTTTTTGCAAATACACTGCATAACACGGACAAATTGCATCAACATCAAATAACACGTTTTTTTATTCACCAAACACGTTTTTCTATCAAATTGCACCGATCGTGGTCACGAATGGAGTTTAAAAAGTAAAAAGATAATACACCTTTTTAATACTTAAAGATATTATGATTTACACATTAAACATAACATTTAAATAAAGACACCCTAGTCTATTCGTGTTGATATATTTGGTTCTATTGAAACCTGCAGTCATTTCATTATTATCAAAACTTTGCAGTTGTGTTGCAACAAAAATTTTGTATATTCAATTCTTCTCAAATTGTCTGAAGCAAACTGCGAAACAAACTATTATATGATACATATAGTCCAATTTAGTCGCTCCTCCTCTATAAACAAAAACTAATTATGCTATCGGTACACCACAACCACATACAATACAAGGCAGGAAGGTCAGACTGATAATAATTAGGGACCCTTATCAAGGAGCACGGTACAACGAAGTAGCCTAAATCGAAAAGCAATCGAAACTAATATTTATCTATTTATAGTTTACCCGATAGGTGTTCAAATCTGTTGTGATTTCATCCCATCCATCAATCCAATCCAATTGTTTCATCTTAAAAAAAAAAAACTTTCAGTTGTTTCCATTTTTTTTGTTGTGTCACCTTTCAGTTTTTTTTTTGTTAACCCTACAACCTCGTTTGTACGATTAAGTATCTTTACTTTCGTCTTTCGTCCTGCTTTTTAATATGATGCTTTAGCTTAGGGACATCATTATTCACACTGCTTTCAAGTACATTGAAAGTAATAACACTTAAAAACGTTTTTTGCACATTCTTTGTATAATTCTATCTTTTCTTTTTTGACACATCTTATGCACGGCTTTTCTGAACTTTTTTATTTTATTTAGGAAAATAAACAGCTGTACAATAAGTTTAATATCGGTGAAAACAGATAACAGTAATTAATACACAACCAACTTAAATATCCACGTTTTACAAATTGAGTCTTAAATACACCGGTGCTTTTGCTGTGCATGTCTTATTCTAGATTGGTATAGTTCATAATACACTGATTAAACTTAGCGGCAGACAGTGCCAAGATGTCCACAGTTTTAAAGTAAGTATTGTAGGCATTAACCAGCTGGAATATAGGGGCGCGTCGCCTGGCGTTACTTTGACACGGATGGACAACTAGGATGAGACTCTGCTATGGTAACACGACTGCTGACAAACATAATTATATAATTCTAAATACATACATATCATCTTCCTATCATAGATATATTACACTCAGCTTCTTACAGGTTTTCTCTAATGTATTTATTGCTCTCCTTATCCATCCTCATCACATTAAATGGGTATGTAATGATAACAATATTTTGAAGTGGTAATTTCTTATGGGAGGGTAAACCGCTTCGTTACGTAACGCGTTACGGCACATACGGCAGCGGTTGACAGGCTCCTGCTCTCTCACTCTAACCCATAGCGTATTTCGGACAGACGCTTCCCCCTCTCTCTACTCAGTGTTTAGTGTGCGATAGACATATACTGTTGACAGTGAGCATATAACCTAAAACTATTTTCACAGTTATCACTTTTGTCGGGCGTCCCGAGACACACACTTTTGTTTAAATAATAATATCCTTGATCACTAAATAAAACTATATTTTTAATAAAAGAAATTTAGTCCTTTTACTATTTGAAAATTTATGAAAACAGAGTCAGTCTTGTTTTTTTTTAAATATTCTGCAATAATACAAGTGAATGGATACAATTCTTTGGACATGAGTGTTTATTGTACAATTCGCTTGTCATACAACACTAAAATTCTCCCTAATACGACCACTATACTCCAAACATCTTCCCCAACCAAACAGAACTAACTTATAGATTTAAATTACGAGTATTATTGAAACTAAAAAGAGTCATGTAATTAAATTTGTTTTTATTTTCTTTTACAGTTAACAAGGCCGACAGGGATACAAACAGTAAGTTATAACATAAGACTATTATATTATTGATATTTGCATTTTCAACACCGTAGTACTTCCTTGTAAAAGCAATACCATTCCAGGAAGACTAATGGATGGCAGACGTGTTCTCTCTCTTGTTATTAATTCCAAAAATAAATAATTAATTATTATTTGTGGCCAGTGATTCCGATTACATATACGGTCGAGTGAGCGTTGGTTTAAAAGATTATTCATCCACTGGATTACACAGGATTAAAAGCTTAAATCATTACTGATCCAGTATAATTAACCTTAAACGTAATCTATGGATTAAGGCTCGACCGGAGTGATAACAGGGCCTCACAGACAAGCGGTGTTAGGCATATCTTTCCTTACTTTTGATTGAGTGAGTGAGGATCAGCGACCCTACACACACACATCTTCACAAATCAACAGCCTTTAATAGTCCACTGCTGGACATATGCCTCTCTTTAAAAAGGAGGTGTTGGCCTACTATACCACGCTGGCCAGACGGGTTAGTATAGGATTTGTCAAGTTTTGTGATCGCTGTGTCTGTGATTCTAATGCAATGGCATTAGAATGCAGAGTTGACGCAATGCGTAACTGTACCGTTCGGTCTGTAATCCCTCTTCTAATTCTTTTAACAGTTTTTTCTTTTTTGTAAAATGTGCGAACGCGGTATATGTATCTGCTTATATGAATTTTCTCTCAGTACAAGAGGGATTA